AAAGTGGACGCATTGGCCTTGCCAGTGAGGAGGAAGAAGAGATGGTGGAAGAGGAATCGCACGTGAGAGTCCCCGACAAAGTTGATTTCGGAAATGCCTCGGGATTGGAGGGCGGAGAGCCACTGGGAGGTGGGTGGGAGGGGACGCGCGCATGGGTAGAGCTGCCATGTGTAGTTTTGTGCCTGAGAATCGAGCAGCCAGCGGCCGTGGATGGAATGGTCACAGGGCGAATCCGGGCCGTCCGTTGCATTCTGTGGGAATGTGCTGCTGGGTTGGGACTCGGTAGAGGTGGCTGGCTCGGTAAGTGGTTTAGTAGTTGATTCTGTAGCTGGTTTGGTAACTGGTAGGGTGCGTGAAAGGACAGTGAGGTTCCACTGCGCCATGACATGCGATCCCGTGGTTTTGACTCGCTCCAAGAACTCAGGAGCAAAGTCCAACGTGTCGCACTCTGATTGGACCAGGACGCTGATTGGGCAGGGAGTTGGGATCACAAAGATGAAGGAGTAAGAAGGGCTTATGGAATTTGACTTACGTGGGATCTAGTTGTGAGCATCTGAAGTGTTGGATTCAAGTAAAGAGAGGTTGGGTGAGGAACAAGATTCAGGGAGGATTTTTTTTTGCATTCCTCCCTCCACGTTGCCCCCAAACCCTCCGTTTTCTCTTCATTCCTTCCTTCCACGTTCCCAGCCTTCATTCCCTCCACTTCACCACCTTCCCCATGTCTCCCTGCAAGCCTCAAGCCTCACCTGTAGCTTCCAGCGTCCCACACGCGGTAACCCCATCTCACCTCCTCCCCAACCCTCTTCCCCCTCTCCACCCCATGCCTCCCCGCAAGCTACAACCCTCACCTGTAGTTTCCAGCGTCCCACACGCGGTACGTCACTCGCCATCGCGTGACGTCACCCTCCTCTGTAGTCACATCCGCTACAGCCAAGGCAGGCCCCATCAGTCTCACCACCAGCGACTCTTGAAACCCACCCACGCCCCTCTGCATGTCGCCAAACCTAGAGCTTCTGCTACCACTGCTGCTGGCGCTACCACTGCTGCCGTCGCTGTCGCTGCTGCTGGCGCTACTACCACTATAGCTGGCAGAGAAACCCCTTGCTCGCGCGACCCATTTCGCGGGCGATCTGACGGCGATCTCGAAGGCACACAGCTCACCCACCGTGCAGTGGGAGCAGCCCCCGCCGAAGATCAAAACGCCTTCCTTTCCCCGCCTCCGAATTCTTTCCTCGTCAATTCCTGCCTGCTTTCCAACAATCGGCTTTTGAGAATTATCTATAAATGTGTGATTGACGTGAGCGTCCTGCGCTGTTGAGCCATTCTCCTGCGGTCCGCCGTTATTCCACTCGATCGTGCCGTTGCCGGTTCCCGACGAGTCGCTGCTACCGTACCCGCCATGGTCCCCGGACCACCAGCAAATCTGATCGGATCCTACCGAAGGAATTTCTGGAACCTGGCATTTCTCCTGGCTCGCAGCCACGTCAGCGTCTGATTTAATGTGTTCGTTCGCGGAGTGCTGGCCGGGGCGAACGTGGATGCCTGGTGCGTCAGCATATATCGTATATGAGTTCACGAGTACGGTGAAGAGTAGCAACGGAACTACCACTAACGCGAATAATGCTAGCAAGGCCACGAAAGATAGCCAAGGCGGCTTCGAGTCATGAGCTTCGGAAGCTGCCATTAAGCAGCGTTGTTAAAAAGATTCGTACGAATAAATAATCAGCCCGGCAAGGAGGCAAAGGTAAGTAGCTGCTAATTATATCGGCATGGCTGATAAGCACAGGCCCGTTATCGCTGGGATCACGGAACGGTGGAAATGACGAAGGGAGCGCATGCTGAGGAAGGTTTCTCTGATGCTGGCTGGAATGGTCACGACTCACGACTCATGAGTCTCTCGAGTCAAGAGTCAAGACAAGGACGACAGCCACTGAAGGAGCCATTCAGGCTTTCTGCGATATTCTCGGGGGGGGGGGGGGGGGGGGGGGGTAGGCGAGGAAAGGGGAGATGTTTGGTGCTTGTCTTCTGAGATTCCTGCTTGGGTTGTAGTTTCGGTTCAGTGGGTTTTCACAAGGTGAACAACGGCTCATTTTCATTGCCTGTTTGGGCCGGAACGCACCAGATTATACCGTAGTAATGTGCGCGAATTCAAATCTAACCCCGTTATAATGGATTGGACGTGGTCCGTGCCAGTGAGTTTGGTTGTCTGACATGTCAGAAAATACCAGCGCAAGGGGACAAGTTCTGCTTTCTAACGAGGAATCTCTTTATGAGTTGATAATAAACACAAAACGAAGTTGAATTCCCATCAGTGGTTGGAAATTGTTGGAAACAATAAATCCTAAGCGCCTCTGTCGTGTCGAAACATCGCACCAGAAGCGAAGCGAACTATATTGAAGCACACGCGAGTCAACCCTCGGAGGTTGAAAGAGGTTGCCGGAGGTTACGCGAAAGTCAAAGGTCAGCGACCTTTGACCTGACAAGTACAGTACGACAGCAAGGACACACAACCGACTCGTTACAGAGCGGTTGCCCGAGTCGTTACTGTATCGAACCGCAACAGCAACAGTAAATTAGTTACAATCGTATCCTTTCGTATTCCTTGTACTACTATATATTCTTGTATCTCTTTGTTATAATCAACTTACTTTGCTCTCACACACTAGTGCAAGGTGGTTCACAAGTCTTCATTAAACGCTTCCGCTATTACAATAGTCCTACCCCGAATTTACCCCTGCAAAAGATCCTAAGGGCTTTTTCTCAGCCCAACATGGTATGAGAGCTATCAGGGGAAATTCGACTACTATCAACACATCACAAGACATGGCAACATACAAGGAGAGGAGTTCCTCTAATGGTTCTCCCGGGACCACTCCTACCCCACCTCCTGCCTCTGGCCTGCAGACAGAGGAAGGAACTGCAACGGGACCAGCAGCGCCTTCAGCCAGCCAGCCTGCCAGCTTCGACCAGAGTATGATGGAGAAGTTTTTCTCCTTCATGTCGTTCTACGAACAACACCAGCAGTCGGCACCTGCGCAGTCAAACAACAGCAACAACAACAACGTAACTCCAATGAGCCTTGACGGCTCATCATATGCGCGCGGAAACCATTAACAACCTACCTTTGCTCCGTATGAACGCGGATCCATCAGCTTCATGCCGCAGCCGCAAGCCCCACCTGGACAAGAAAAACCACTGGACGCACTACAAGTTCAATCGCAATTCGCGCACGTCTTGAAGCTGCAGACATCAAGACCCTTTGACGGAAAGGACTTCTTTACCTGGTCATTCGAGTTCGAGCTCATGATGGAAGGCGCGCAGATACTTGGGTTCTTCGACGGATCTGTGCCATACCCAATCAACGGCACACAGTATGAGAAGCAGCAGTACACATATCAGTCGATGATGGCGTACACAATCCTACTGAGAAACATCACTCCGAGTCAGCAGCAGAACATTCGATCTTACCGGGGATACGGCAACTCTGCCGAGCTCGCTTACAGCCATCTGAAGAACCTGTACCAAGCAACAGACAGCGTCAACCAGAGTCGGTTAATGGCGCAATTGACAAACGTCGAAATGAAACCAGGCGAAAAGGGAATGGCGTATATCAGCCGCTGTCGCGAACTGCGCGACAAACTCCTTCGATGCGGAGGATCAATAGCCGAAGCTCTGTGCTGAAATCCACGCCGAGCAGCAAGATATGGACCTACGAGAAGAACGACACAAGAGAAAAACGTCAGTTCCGGAGTTCGCGTTCCACACTCAGCGACGCTACAACAACAACCGACAACAACAGAAGCACGTACCTCCGTTCTGCCATATCTGCAAGACGTCAGGGCACCCGCGCACACACTGCCCGAATCGACAACAGTCAACGCCACAACAGCGACAGCTTCGACCTTCAAGCAGCCAAGTTGCTTCAACGCAAGCGAATCCTACGACCCAGGTTCAAGCTTCAACAACATCAACGGGACAACCTGCACAAGGCGCAAGAAACATCGTCAGTTGTATGGCAAGACTGACCGACTCCTGCATCACCGAATCACCACCTCATTACTCACCGGAAGAACAGCTTGACAACAGCACGCCCCGCCGCGAGTCACTGCAGCCGAACCCGACATACGCCGCTATCGCCCAGAGTGAGCCATCCGGGAAAGACACATGGTTCTTGGACAGTTGCTGCGGACAGCACATGTGCTCCTCGGGACGCTTCGTTCAACGCGAATACCAGCTTCAACGGGAAGTCGTCATCACTGTCGCCAACAATCAGAACCTGCGTACACAGCGACAAGGCGTAGTTCAACTTCAGTCACGGGAAACAAACGTCATACTGCAAATGACGAAGGTCTTAATCGCAGAAGGTCTCGGTTACAACTTACTGAGCGTCAGTCAGTTGATGGCGAAAGGCATCCACCTCGAAGCAGACAGCACCACACAGGAATTCCGGCTGTTCCACGGAAAGGGCGGCCTCTACATCGGAAAGGCAATCCTCAAGAACAACGTCTTCGTTCTTGACTTCGTACCAGACCTTGGCACCGCTGACAGCGACGGCATCGTCAGCTTTGCTCCTTGGACACATCCTCCAGATCTTGACCCAGACTTCAGCCCCGGCGGCTTCTGGCACTCACACACCATTCCTGAAGCAGAGAGAACAAGGGCGTTAGCAACAATTCAACAAACATCAGCAGCAGCAGAGACAACATCGGCAGCAGCAGAGACAACATCAGCAGCAGCAGAGACAACATCAGCAGCAGCAGAGGCAACAACGCCAACAGCAGCAGCAACATCGACACCAATCGCCGGTCCTTCAACGGCACCAATCTCCATCGACGATTCGCCTCCGACACCCGCACAGCAGTTAACCCCGGCACCACGAGAAGTCCACCGAAGCGCTAACATCACCGCCGGCTTTTACTCAAACTCAGACATGTACAGACGCTCCCCCGGGCACCGCGCCAGCGAAGACATCTGGCACGCACGAATGGGACACCCAAGCA